GTGATTCTGAATTAAAAAAACAATTAACATTACTGGAGAGTCTTAATAAAAAAAAGCTGTGGAATGTAAATGATCAAAGAGTTATCAAAATTCACAATCACATTGAAGAAATGATGGCGTTGGACATTCAACCATATTTTGATTGTAGATCTTGGTTTTAGAAAACTAATTGAAGAGCTGTTATGTAATTATCAAATACCTAGTAGGAGATATTTTAGTGAAAACATTATTCCACAAATATATAAACTATTTAGTTCTATCAAGAGTAATATATCTGCTGCCATTCATATCTCTCTTACAACTGACATTTGGACAGCAAATAGTTCAAATGTTGCCTTCATAAGCATGACATCACACTGGCTCAGTAATGAATTTTCCCAGCACAGAGCAGTACTCAGAGTTATGCATTTTCCAGAAAGTCACACGGGAAAAAATATAAGTGAGTATTTACATAAAGGTTCAGTAAGTTTTGAAATTCCACACTCAAAAATTCATATTGTTTTACAAGATAATGCGGCCAATATGGTAGCTGGTGTAAGAGACAGTGGTTTTAGATCAATGCCATGTTTTATACATACAATACAGTTATGTATACATGACTCAATTCTGTCGCAAAAATCTGTTAAGGATATTTTAGCTTGTTGCAGACGTCTGGCAACTCATTTTCACCATTCCCCAACAACAGCAGCAGCAAAATTAGAAGCAATTCAGGAACAACTTGGTACAAATAAGCACAGGTTAATCCAAGATATTACTACAAGTTGGAACAGTTCTTATGATATGATTGAGGCTTTTTTAACAATAAATACTTTAGTTGAACATTCAAGTGGGTCAGTAGACAAAAGATTGGGTCCATATTTACATGATAAATATTTGTCTTTCCACTTTTTGTGACCCTAGATATAAACTGACATATCAAAAGGAAGACAAGGATAAAATAAAAAATTGTATAAATGAACAGATGCAAGAAATGCAACAAAGTAATTTAGAACTTGAATCCTCTGATTCTGATTTTGACGAACCTTCAGTACATAACACAAATGAAGTAATTGCAAAACCAGCTTATCCAAAATTCAATGAATGTTTTCAGAAAGTTTCTAAACTGATAACTATAGGTGAATGTGATTCCAATTTTGTAAATACTGAAAATAGCAAAAAGTTAAAAAGATCAAATTCTAACTTGAGGACAACAAATGATAATTGATTTATACTCATGTTTTTATGTTTTATTTTTTCAATAATCGATTATTTTGTTAGGTGAAAGTTTAAAATTGTTGATTTGTCTAGTATTAATACTATTGCATGTTTAGTTATATAATAATAACATAATAGTATATGTTATATAGTTATATAGTAATAACTACATAATAAATTGGAGCATTTTTATGTTTTTGATCACCACAATAACATTTTTCCCTAAGTTTATTCCTTTCAAATAATTTTCTCAGTTCAACTAATTGAGTAGCCAAATTACGAGCAACTTTCTTCATAAAGACTTTTTTTTAACACAGCAGCAATAGGCGCCACTTAAAACGAACGTTTCTATCTGTTATTTTAAGTTTATTTTATACTACATTTTTGCAATTTTTCCAAAATAAAAAATTTGCTTCTTGCATGAATTTTATAACTTAAGTTAAGTTTAACTATTATTATTATTGTATATAAAAGGATAAAATTAACTAAAATATTGCTCAATTGAAAGGATTTTTTATTTTACACTTATACTAGTACTATTTTTTCTAAATGATGTAAACTAGCTTTACGTAATACATTCGGTTTTAAGTAATACATGCGATCAAATTAAATTTATTCTAAATTCAAAAAACTTGATGTAAATCTAACGTACTCATGTGTTCTATTGAAAAACATATTCTTATCGACTATGCGTTGTAAATAAAAATCGGGTTTTCAATAAAAAGCCATATCTATTGGTACTGTAGCTATTTAGGCTGAGTTATGATGATTTGATGATATTAATTTCCAAATTAACATTTTTAGCAAATGTTCGTCCGAACATTTGTCAAGGTTCGACCGAACTGAACGTTCGGCAAAACAGCCGAATGTTCGGTTTTGCCGAACGTTCGGTGCATTCCTATTAAATAGTAACTCAAACAGCAATTTTCTAACTTAATTTATTTTTAATTAACTTAATTTATACAAGCAAATTATAGAATTAGAAATAGAAAATATAGTATATAAGAATTTGGTATTTTTTAGAAAATGCTAAAATCTAAGAAATGATTTTCTATTTGCTGGATTATATTAATAGCAGGAATATTTTTATATTTTATAAATGTTTAATTACAATTTTAATTGTTTATTCTGAGCAATCTTCTTAAGTTTTTTCAAATTAAAATCACTTCTATTCTTTGTGTGATATAGTAGATGTAGTAAAGAGAAAACAAGAACGAAAGAAAATTATTTGTAAATAAAATTTGAATTTGATACTTTGATCTGCTTTTATTGTGTACATTGCTTCAGTTTTAAAACGTTTAAATGATTATTTACATACATTGTTTTCTTTTATTTTATTTTCATTTTTAAATTAGAAACTAAAAAAAAAAGCTTAATAGTATTAAATTTTTAACAAAACTTTTTTGATCCTCTTGTAATTTCTTAAACAGCTAAAACAACTTTTTATTTGATGAATGCCGATAAAAACACTATATATTAAATGGAATGTTTTTAAATATTTCAATTTTTTAAAAATTTTAGTGTTTTAAAACTAAATATTAAAAAAAAAAAAACTAAAACTAAAAACTTAAATAAATTTAAATGAGAAACTTGAATGGCTCATCCAATTCCGTTGAATAGAATGTTAGTTAAAAGAACTTTTGCTGCAATATTTTAGAATTAATTTAAATAAGCAAAACAGGCATTTAAGGGGCAGAGTGAGATCCGTTCACCGCCCAAGTGCAGCAAGTAAATTTCATCGGCACATTTAAATATCTAGTATAATAGGTATTTAAAAAAATATAAGTAAAAAACTAATATTTTTCAATATTGAAATAAAGTACAAAATTTACAAAATTAACAATTTATTTCTTTTAAAATAAATTCAAAAAAAAATTGTTTTTTTATTTATAAATATTGTTTTTTAAATTAAACTTTGGCATTTGTAAATAAAATAAAAAAATATTATAAAAATATATGTATATTTAATTATCTTATATTATGTTTTACGCAAATATAGCATAAATGATATGTTTCATTGCAAGTTTCATTTATTATTTTTTTATTGTTATTTTTGGTTTACTATAACCAGCTTAATTTATTTTAAAGTATATTATTTATTAATATGCAAAGATTTTTGTAACTTTCCTAACTTACCTAAATGTAAATAAAGAGTTTTTGAAAAGAAAGAATAAATTAAAAAAATAATTTATTAAACATATTAAAAAATCTAAATTAGAGAATAACTGACATCAATTAATAAAAACCAATTGTCATAACATATTTTTTTTTTTTATTCGAGCGGATAAGTCCTTCTTATCTGCTTGAATAAAAAAAAAAAATTATGTTTATATATTTATGTTTAATTACATGATTTTAATTTACAAAGTTGACAAGAAGAAGAATAATTTTAACAAATGTGTTTAATTAATATAATACAAATGCAAAACGAGTCAGTTTTACATTATGCAATTTATTATGCAATAAATTTGTATATTTTATATTGTTGTAGTATTGTTTAATTTTTGTAGTATTGTTTAAAAGTAAAAATAAAGTATGTGATTTATTGTACAATAAATTGCTTATTTTAGAACCTGGCTTTAGAACATATTATACACGCTTACAGCATGGTGCCACAACCCCGTCGCGCCGACTTGCAACTAAAACCTAGAGTATTCGATTTTATTTAAATGTAAATATTTGTTATAAAAATATTTAAAAAAATTTAAATTTGAAAAATAAATAAAGTAGTACAAAAAGCAGAAATTAATAAATTTAGCGGGAGCCACACATAAATAGAAGAGGAGCCGCACTTGCTCACCCCTGATATATATATATATATATATATATATATATATATATATATATATATATATATATATATATATATATATATATATATATATATATATATATACATATATATATATATATATATATATATATATATATATATATATATGTATATATATATTAGGGTCCTGCGAATCGCCAGTTTTTGTTTCGAATTGAATCTCGAATCAAAGCTGATCTTGATTTGCGATTTGATTAACGTTATTTATCAACAGTTTGAAGTCTAAATTTAAGTATTTTTTATTTAATAATATATATTTCAAAATAAAATAAAATAATCGTATAATCTATTTATTGATGCTTCTTTCCCTTTTAAATGACTGATTAAAAAGGTATTTAAGGATAAGTAACATTATTTTGATTGTGCCAAAGTGCAGAATATCTAAAATAACCAAAACAAAAACAAAATAAGTAAGGATTCGATTTTTGAAAACTTTTGAATCGTATCTCGAATCATATTTATTATTATTTGATTCGATTTGAAATTTCGAAACTTTGCAGGGCCCTAATATATATATATATATATATATATATATATATATATATATATATATATATATATATATATATATATATATATATATATATATATATATATATATATATATATATATATATATATATATATATATATACATATATATATATATATATATATATATATATATATATATATATATATATATATATATATATATATATATATATATTACACCAATTATATGGTTATGTGCGTCTTAAGTTGTCTTAAGATTTTTGTAAACTGTAAATTTTAAAAAATTTAACAATATTTCTGAAATATCTATATTTTGAAAATCACACTACATAACTTTACAGTTAATGGTACTTTTTAAACATTGAAAAATTCATAATTTTTAATGTTCTTCTAAATGTTAACCATTATAATATATTTCATAATACAACAAAAATTACAAAAAGTGAAAAATCTGAAATTTACTTAAAACAGTAACTACCTTCTTAATACAAAAAATACAAACAATAGTCCCAGCATCATGTAGCCAATATTGCTATAAACGTTGTTAAAAGCACTAAAAATATACACATAAAAATAAAACATTAAATATACTTAAAAAACTTGTTTAACAAACGCATTTAAAATTTTTTTTTTTTAAAGCATGAAAAAAAAATCATATGACTCATTAAAACACTACCTAAGCATATGATAAGGTCTAGCACATTTAAAATTGTAATAACATATGTCTTGATCACCACTTGCATTGACAACACGTTGGTATGTCAATACTAACTGAATAACAGGTAGTGAGTAAAAAACAGCAACAGTTAAAAGATTCCTAAAAAAATTAAGTAATAAGACAGTTATTGTTTAAAACAAAAATAAGATCAGAAAATCCACAGGGTGTAGGTTGGTGGTGTGGTGTTAGCTTGTCCAATTGCACTACATATACCGCAGTATTCCCAATAGGTTTAAAATTCCCAAAATTCAATGACTTTTTTTCTTTTTTTAAGTGATAGTATAATTTTAATAAAAATTCCTATTATTTTGTAAAACAATAATAAATATCGCAAAAACACGGTAAAAAATAAATTTGCTTGCTGTTGCCTGCAAGCATCACTTTGTATTTTATTCAATTTAAGAACATCAGCTGTATGAACATTTAACCCAAATTGATAGCAGCCACATGATTACTCTTTGCAGGTACCCAATCAACCAGCTTTAAATGGATTTGAGTTAATTTTTATTCTATAGCAAGTGGTTTTTTAAAAACATGACTCATTAAAGTGAAAATTATATTCAATAGAATACAGACCATATTTTTCTACTTTTTTATTGCCTCAATGAACTTAGGACTGACCTATTTGAGTGTTTTGTTTATAAATGGTTTGTTTGCTGGAACATGACAATAACATTGTTGTATTTGTTTATTAAAAGGTAATAATTGTCTACAGCAAAAATTTGTAAAGAATGGTACCCTGCTTCTGTGAAGGAATATCTAACTGCGTAAAACTGGGTCAAAAGTTACCTTCAAAAAAGCAGTAAAATTTTATTTAATTAACTTAGAAGTAGTAGTATTTACTATATACTACAGATAGTATATATTAGTAAGTTTATGAAAAACCTTTAGTAAATTATCTTTTTAAAAAAATTATTTTTCACTTTACATCCTAACTCATTTTTATTAAGATCAAAACCTGTATTAAAATGAAATGCATTAATATCCAACAAAGATATGAAATCTCATTTAAAGAAGCTTAACCGATCATACCTACACACAGATCATACCTACAAACAGATTAAAACCTACAAATAGATCATACCTACAAACAGGTCAAAACCTACAAATAGATCATACCTACAAACAGATCATACCTACAACCAGATCATACCTACAAACAAGTCATACTTACAAACAGATCAAACTTACAAATAGATTATACCTACAAACAGATCATACCAAGAAACAGATCATACCAAGAAACAGATCATACCTACAAACAGATCACACCTACAAACAAGTCATACTTACAAACAGATCAAACCTACAAATAGATCATACCTACAAACAGGGCATACCAACAAACAGATCATACCTACAAACAGATCATACCTACAAACAGATCATACCTACAAACAGATCATACCTACAAACAGATCATATTGTAAAAAATTTTAATTAATAAAGATTTTTCTTTTTAGTACTTTTTATTCTAAATTTTTTATAATAAATTCTATACTGAATTTCAAGCTTACAACTTTAGAATAGTATGTATGTATTAAAAATGTTTTGATGTACACAAATGGGTACACATCACATGCATTTGTGAATATATCACAAAAAAAAAAAAAAACAGCTAATAATATAAATGTAATATAAATGCTTTATCTCAATAATCTCTGAAACTGGAATAAACTTTTAATCTCAATAATACCTAAATTTTCAAAATGATTCTTTATTTATTTAAATGGTTACTTTATAAACTAAGATGACACTTTAAATATATTTCAAATAATAAAATGAAACTTAAAATATGTTTCAAACAAGAAGATGAACTATTAAATATATCTCAAACAAGAAGATAAAATATTAAATATATTTCAAACAAGAAGATGAAAAATTAAATTTCAAACAACAAAATGAAACTCTAAATTCATTTCAAACAACAAAATGAAACTCTAAATTTATTTCAAACAAGATTTTATAAATCAATAAGTTATAAAAACAAAAAAATTAATTTAATAAAATTTTATTAAAAAATTAAATGTATTAATTACACTCGTATAAAACTTTCACCTAATTATGTTTAGGACAAGAATAATGGAAATTAGAATTCTTGAAATGCAAATAATTTTTCTGTAATTTGATTTTATTAAATTTTTGAAATTTCAAGTTTTTGCCAACAAAATGAAGTTATTTTGCAACATTAATATAAATGTAGTTTTACAATTTTAATGGATAATTTGTAACTCTAACGGCACCCAAATTTTCAGGAAAGAAGTTTATGTAAATAAAGAAAATGTATTTTAATGACATATTATAACTCAAAACCTATAGTATGTATGGAGTCGTTATCTACTATAGTAGAAAACTGCTCCACATATAGTAAAAAACTGTTCCACATATAGTAGAAAACTGCTCCACATATAGTAGAAAACTGCTCCACATATAGTAGAAAACTGCTCCATATATAGTAGAAAACTGCTCCACATATAAAAACCACAACAATACTTTTACAGCCATATGATCAATGATTTCCTAGATAATTAGAAGTTACTTTTTTAAAAGATTCCAGGCTGATTTTTTCCAAATCATTTAACTTTTTTTTAAATACATCATCATCAATTGCTTTATTACAAAATCCAAGCTGATCATCTTATTACAAAATCCCAGCTGATATCTGATTCAGCTGATCATCTTGTGAAAAAAACTGTTTAGTTCTTCATCTTGATTACCAAAGTAAAACACAATTTTTGGTTGTAGTAAATCTGATGTTCAGCCAACTATATTTTCTGATGTTCGACTTGCTACATCTTCTAAAGTTTGATCAACTAGATTTTCTGATGTTGGCTGGCTATATTTTCTGATGTTCGACCGACTACATTTCCTGATGTTCAACTGACTATATTTTCTAATGCTTGACTGGCTACATTTTCTGATGTTCAGTCAACTTTATTTTTTTGTTGTAACTAATACTAACATGCTTGTTTAAAAAAAAAGAAGGAGGGTATTGTATTTTTTTAATAATTCAAAGTTAAAAAAATACATAACTATAGTTCCTGATTTCCTTACAAATGGAATAAAAATTAATAAAGTAATATTTTTTCTTTATTTCTTAATTTTAGCTAAAGGAAAAAAAAAAGTGATATAAGAGAGTTATAACTGTATTCTGAACTATTGTTTAACAAAATGTTTATGCTAAAAACATAATATTTGTGCATCATTAAGATGTTTTTATATTAATACATACAGATTAAAATTTTTTTTTTATGTTTTTGTAAATACTTACCAGTAATAAACATTAAATTTTTTCGACAACTTTTTGTGTGACTTTCTTGATAAATCAGATATAAATAAGTTTTTCTAAAAAAAAAATTTGTTCTAAAAATATAAATAAGTTTTTCTGAAAAAAATTTTTTTTGAAACTAAAAAAAAAAAAAAAGTTTTTCAAAATTTTTTTTTTTTTAAAATTTTTTTTTCTAAAAAAAAGAATAATTTTCTCTGAAAATATAACTTTTTCTAAAGAATTACATATTTTTTTCTAAAAATGTGATTAGCTTTTTAAAAAATTTTTTTTTTAAATATAATCTGGTCAAAATAAACATTTCAATTTACAATAATTCAATTCAATTTACAATAATTTGCATAGAGCTGAAAATTGGTACATACCTTTGGAACATTATTACAAATAAAGTATTAAAAGTCCACATCAATCCCATATCTGCAAAAAAAGTTATTCAATGTCAAAGGTATAAAAAAAAAAGGTGTTTTTATTTTTTATTTTTTTTATTTAAAAAAAAAAAAGAAGTTAAAAAAAAAAAAAAAAGGAAACCTTTTATTATAAAAATAGATCAAACAAAAGTATTAGATCATGAAAGTGTTTACTAAAATTGCGTTTATACATTTTCATAAGAATCATTTTTCCTGAGATATTGTAATTCTTGCAAAAATATATTGCAAGAAGCTGTTGCAAGAATATATTGCAAGAAAATATATTGCGAAAATATATTAAATATTTTGCGATTTTATATAAAATATAATGCTAGAAAAGTTATTGCGATTCTTGTGAAATTACAAAATTAATATATCAATAATATATACATTATATTTGTATACTCGTATTAGTGTGATATACTGTATATTAGTATCTTTTTCGCTTTCTTCTTCTTTGTAGTCATTTTCTTTTTCAAGCTGGATATTTGAAAAAGATACATCTATTATCTCCTCATTGATGTCATCAAAATCATCATTTATTGAATTTGATTCAACATTGGAGCAAGACTGGACTCGGCAATTAGTAACACACCAATGAACAAAATAACCCGACTTTTTTACAGCTATATTTTGTACTACCCTTTTTGCAATTGCAGAAGATGGTGTTGAAAATTCTTTCCAGAGCTGGTAGGAGTAAAGTGTCAATTGGCTCTAATATATTATTTACTAATTTCCAGTTGATTGCCTAGCCATACTTGAACTTGACAATATACTCGATACAAGTGTTGGCTAGAAGAAGCAGATATTAGAGGAAGACAAGATAACTGCACTCTTTTATTACTCCGGGTGTTTTTTACAAATTTTAAGTATGCTTGTCTAAACAATCAATTTTATTTGAAGCTCCATATAAAACAAGAAAACAAATCCCCTTTGTAACAATATCTTGTGGTGAAGAGTCTATCTTTGGAAACACTTCGGCACAATTAGTTAAACCACATTTTTTAAATAATTTAAATGCAGTTGTTTTACCCTTTCTGAAAAATGCTGATGTAGTATCGCAGCCGTTAAGTGCATGTAAAAATGATATAATTTTGACATTTTGGATAAGCAGATAAACTTTTTGATGAATATATTTCTGTTGGTTGATGAGCTTTCTCAGGTTTTAAAAAGAAAATAATCATAAGATTATTTTCTTTTTCAATTGGAGTTTGTGCAGTCAGTAATACTAATAAGTCAACATCTTCACTGACAATAATAGAAGTATTTGTTGCATTGGATTGTTCTATAGTTGTTTCAATTATAAGGACATCAGTGCCATTATCTGCTTGCTTCACTATAATATTTGCAGCTGTAAATCTTTCGCATAACATAAAAATGAAGCAAGACTTGTTATGAGTATTGAAAAGGAATTGTTGTTGGTTTGTTGGAACTGTCATAAACTGATCAAAAATGACATCAGGTGAAAAAGATATTTTTGTGGTTCGACAACGCTGTTCTGCAGCTATTATAGACACTCAATGACTAAAATGTCTATGTGCATACTGAATGTATTTATCAAAAGTAAGGTTAAAGGTTACTTCTAGATCCCACACAACACGGTGTAATAAATACCCCTCATGGATGATGTAACTAGCATTTGTGTTGTCGATTTAAATTTCCAATGATTCAAAGCAATTGTAAATAGCTGATTTCTGTGTTTTACGCATTCCAGTTTCATTAAGCATTGATAAAGGATAGGGGGCTAATTCATACTCAAAAAAATTTTCTATTTCATCCGCAAATGTCTTAGTAATACTCATACGTTGAAATAGTAATACTAGATCTACAGTACTTTCTCATCATGAACTTTTATGGTGCTACTCATGGTTAGAAGAGAAAGAACTTTATCAACGCGTTTTAATTTGATATTAAATGTTTCACCTATTATTTTAAACATAGAAGCAATCCCAACTTTACAAGCTTTATGACAGTTCATTTTATTATCACCAACCATTCCACTAGCAATTGAAATGATTTTTTTAATTTTAGGAAAAGGATCATGTGATGAAACCACTGCTGAAGTTTTTCAATATCTTTATTATCTTTCTTTATTTGTGAATCACTTGCATCTACATGTTGATTTGTTTTATATGTTCTAATATCAGCAAGATCTTCTAATCCTTCACATACAGTGTTCATTGCATGCATGTCATAAGCCCATTTACTTATAATACTCTCTTTTGTACTTCTTCCTTGAGAAATACCTCCATATGTCTTCATTAATTTTATCATTGATTGCTCAATTACCATATCCTTGAAGTACCACAATTGAGTTTATCAGAACCTCTAACAGTGACAAATCCTTCGATAAACCATTGATAAACACTTTGATTCATTAACTTCTCTAATTGTAACATATCCTGTAGATATAAGTGCAGACTTAGCTTAAGGAAAATGTCCCGATGCATCGAATTAAGGAAGCATTTCTTTAGTGCTGTTCAAATAACCTTGCCAATCTCCCATGCGTTCAGCTCTGATAAACTCCTTTGCAAACGACACCATATTAAGATATTGTATCCATAGTTTTGATGTAGGTCCTTGTTTTTCAAATTCTTTTAGTTTTTCATTGAACTTATAAAGTGCATCGCACATTTCATTATCAACGCCACTTTCAATATCACTATATGAAACATTGTTATTTATGACATCCTTAACCATTAAGGATGTCATATATGTCAATATCAAGATTTGCTACCATCATCTCATCAATAGCTAGATCTTTTGAAATTATTATAGCTAAAGTGAGCTGAAGTAATGTATGGGTTCTAGCAGCTCTAGAGTAAGCATGGCTATTGAGCATTTTTTCTAACGACTTGTGCCTCTTGTATGCCACTTCCTTGCATAATATAACTAATTGATCCAAAAAATGACATTAGTAAACGAACCCTTATTATGATCTTTGATAATTCAGCTCCAACAAGTGCTTCAGATACAATTTCTCAAGCTTTTGCATATAGAGGTTACTTCGTGGCCGTAATGTTTCACATTTTCTAAAGCACAAAGTAAAGTTGTGTATATTGTACTGTAGTTACTTGCTGCTTGGTGAATAAATGGTAAGAATAAAATTTTAGAAAAATTATGAATACTACTTGTTAAACATTCGATATAACCATTCCAACCGGGTAACGAATTTACATTTGAATAAATGTGCCAATTTGTGATGGTAAGATAAAAGGCGGACAGTGAAGAACTGCTGCTGCTTCATATATCAAAGTGTCATTGTAGGATGTGCATAAACCAAAAGACGAAAAGATTTGTATAAGAAGTTTAGAACCAAACCGTCGATGGATAAATACTGAGAGACCCAATTGCAATTTTGATTTAAAAGACCTAGGCCTAACAGCAGACATAATGCTTTTGCTGATAAGTATCAGCCACAGCATTGAAATTAGTATGTACAAGTGTGTACACACTAATTTTAAATGCTTTAATTTAGATCTTTTTTTTTCAAAATAACTCTAAAAAATAAGTCAATGACTCTGGAATATCACTGTTAATATCTGGTATTATCAAATACTAATGATTGAAGGTCCTCTCGAATGATTACTGCCACAGCTTTTAAAATTCAAAATCTTTCTTCTTTATTTTGGCTTTTCTTCTCATACCAAGCTTGGGTAAGAATATCGCTATGACTATTCAAAAAACAAATAGACATTAATTTTTCCAGTTTTTTAGTGATAATTTTATTATAGAACTTCAATTTTAACTAAATTTTAATTGTTCTGTTAACTAAATGTGGATTTTTGCAAGTATTTTTTAATTCTTCTAAAGAAAACTGGCAATTATTGCTGTTTTCAATGAATTTAAATATTTTTTCCATCGTAATATTCATAGATTCATCTTCTTAGAACAACCGATTTTACACCCATTGGTTGGTCTCAAGAAAGAATTATAACAGGTATTATGTTTACTAGCCTCAGCAGCAACTAAATCAAGTTCATATTCAATGCGTGCAGTAGCCTTTTTTGCTTCCTCATCAGAACTACTCCATGCTACCTTCAGAATTGATTTTTTAAATTCAAGAGTAGCAACTTTATGAATTTTACGCTGGACTTTCATCGCTTTCTTCTTCTCGTTCGCTTCATCGCCGCAAAATAAACAACATTTTTTTAAACAAAAAAGCGATTCACTTACGCGCGCCTTGGTACAAGGTGGACTATTTTCAGATGTGCTGACTTGATCTATATCTTGCTGTCTTTTAAATGCAGTTGTTTTTAAATACTCTTCCGAGTATACTTTTTACAGCACACCACATGTTTTGTCACAGACTTCAGATCTTTCAGGTATTCATAAAAACCGTCACTTTTTGTAACACTCGTACCAATCAAAGTCTTCATTCCATGATCAACAACAACAGTTTCACTTGCTGTTAAAAGTTTACTACAAATAAAACATAGTTGCTCATTTTAAATGAAAGTATTAAACAGTTTCAATATATAATAAAAAATACTACTCAATACTATTCACTGCAATAGAACGTTCAACACTAAAAGTATTTCATCGTTCGTAACTTTGTTCCAAGAACTTTGGGAAGTCAGACGAAAAAAATCAGTTTAAAAAATTATTAGAAAAAAGCATTTTTTATTGTTCCTATACAACATCATAGAAAAGCCGCTGAAAAAGTTTATTCAAAATTTGCTTTAAAATACACTTCGCATTTGTTTGATCTATTTTTATGCTAAAACATTTTTTTTATACCTTTGACCTTGAATAACTTTTTTTGCAGATATGGGATCAATGGGGACTTTTAATACATTATTTGTAATAATATGCTTAAGGTATGTACCAATTTTCAGTTCTATGCGAATTATTGCAAATCTACCACTATTTGTCTATTTTGACCGAATTAATATGAATAACATTTTCTAAAGAAAAAAATAATTTTTTCTGAAAATATAAATAACTTTTTCTGAGCAAATATTTTAACTTAATGTGTCAATGTCATGTTTAAAATGTCATGTTTAAAATGTCATGATTAAAATCTCATGTTTAAAATGTCATGATCAAAATTATTAAAAGGATTTTGTTAACACTAAAGTAATATTTAGAAAAATATATTCAAAGAGACCTTTAATCTGTAAACATCTTTATTCTGATCTATATCATCCAACCAGTCATAGTCACCATCAGAGTCAACAGGTGAATCAGTTTGGAAAACGCGCTCACCTTTAAAATTTTAAAAAATATTCAAAAATATTAAAAATTTTAAGTACAAAAACGTTTTTTAAAAAATCTTATATAATTTAATTTTGGAATAAATAACTAAAAAAAGTAAAACTAATAATTAAAAAAAAGTAAAGTGTTACCATAAGTGTTATTTCGACTATCATATGGTGTTCGCAGTGGTTCATCTTCTTGAAGATTTGTGTCAACAATAGCACCTAATTTAATATTCAAATAAAATTAAAAAGTTTTATTATGAATGAAGATTTGGTGTTTTTTTCATAAATCCATTGCTTAAATTTCCATTGCTCAAAAACTAAAAATGAATTTATGTTAAAGATTTGAAGAGCTTTTGTGACATAATAAATGCAATTATTGTATTGTAATTGTAAAAAAGATTTTTAAAAGATTGTAAAAAAGATTATGTAAATATACTTGACTACAGCAATTATGCAGTCAGCAATAATCCCATTCTAATTAAACATATTTAAAATCGCAAAACATGAATTAAACGTGTTTACAACCAATTTCACACTAATTGAAACTCATATTAACTTACTTCATACTACTTGAAACTCATTACATCTTACTTCATACTACTTAAAATTCATTAGAATTTACTTCATACTACTTGTAACACATTGCAACTTATTTCATACTACTTGAAACTCATTACAACTTACTTCATACTACTTGAAACTCATTACAACTTACTTCATACTACTTGAAACACATTACAACTTACTTCATACTACTTGAAACACATTACAACTTACTTCATACTACTTGTAACGCATTACAACTTACTTCATACTACTTGAAACTCATTACAACTTACTTCATACTACTTGAAACTTATTACAACTTACTTCATACTACTTGAAACACATTACAACTTACTTCATACTACTTGTAACACATTACAACTTATTTCATACTACTTGAAACTCATTACAACTTACTTCATACTACTTGAAACTCATTACAACTTACTTCATACTACTTGAAACACATTACAACTTACTTCATACTACTTGTAACGTATTACAACTTACTTCATACTACTTGAAACTTATTACAACTTACTTCATACTACTTGAAACTTATTACAACTTACTTCATACTACTTGAAACACATTACAACTTACTTCATACTACTTGAAACTCATTACAACTTACTTCATACTACTTGAAACTCATTACAACTTACTTCATACTACTTGAAACACATTACAACTTACTTCATACTACTTGAAACACATTACAACTTACTTCATACTACTTGTAACGCATTACAACTTACTTCATACTACTTGAAACTCATTACAACTTACTTCATACTACTTGAAACTTATTACAACTTACTTCATACTACTTGAAACACATTACAACTTACTTCATACTACTTGTAACACATTACAACTTATTTCATACTACTTGAAACTCATTACAACTTACTTCATACTACTTGAAACTCATTACAACTTACTTCATACTACTTGAAACACATTACAACTTACTTCATACTACTTGTAACGTATTACAACTTACTTCATACTACTTGAAACTTATTACAACTTACTTCATACTACTTGAAACTTATTACAACTTACTTCATACTACTTGAAACACATTACAACTTACTTCATACTACTTGAAACACATTACAACTTACTTCATACTACTTGAAACTCATTACAACTTACTTCATACTACTTGAAACTTATTACAACTTACTTCATACTACTTGAAACACATTACAACTTACTTCATACTACTTGTAACGCATTACAACTTATTTCATACTACTTGAAACTCATTACAACTTACTTCATACTACTTGAAACTTATTACAACTTACTTCATACTACTTGTAACACATTACAACTTACTTCATACTACTTGAAACACATTACAACTTACTTCATACTACTTGAAACACATTACAACTTACTTCATACTACTTGTAACATATTACAACTTACTTCATACTACTTGTAACACATTACAACTTACTTCATACTACTTGAAACTCATTACAACTTACTTCATACTACTTGAAACACATTTAACTTATTTCATACTACTTGAAATTTATTACAACTTACCTCATACTACTTGAAACTCATTACAACTTACTTCATACTCAAGATAAGTAAGAATTTTAATATGGAGTAAAAAAAGAAAAATTTAAGGAAGTATAAAGTAAGTTGTAGAATATATAGTTAATAATTCTTTATTTATATTTAAAATACCTTTAACTTTATTTGGCAAAAGAAACATGAAAAACGATTTTCCACCATCTTCTGACCTAAATTTTTTAAATTTTTACTATTTTTTTTATATTAAGCTATCCAAATGAATAATATGATAAATATTATTCATTTGGATAGCCTAATATAAAATAAGTGTTGTCATTGTTGTAGGTACTGCTAGTTAGGTATGTAAAATAAAATTTCTAAATAAATTTTAGAATGTTATATGTCATTATAACAGGTTTCAATACATTTCAATGGTTTTAATGGTTAAAAGGTTAACAAAAGGTTAACAAACTATACTATAAAATTCAGTTTTTCTAGCTCTTTTTGTTAAAAACATATATTGCTTATATGGTAATGTTATTGATGTAATAAGTCATTGTTGTTGTAAATACTGCTAGTTAGGTATGCAAAAATTCTTGGTGTATGACATAAAATTTTAAAATTAGTTAAATATTAGATTGTTATATATCATTAGACCAGGTTTCAATACTTAACAATTTTTTTTAAAATATTTCAATAGTTAAAGGATTATCAAAACCAAACTATTGTAAAAAATTCAATTTTTCATGAGTTAAATTGTTGTAACTTTCGATTCTTATCTAAATGCTTAAAATTAGATATTATAAAAAAGGCATAAGAGTGTGCTACAAATTTACATTGCCTAAAAATGCATATTTCTTCCTCTTAAAAAAATTTTTTTTTTTAATAAAACAAAAGAAAAAAGTAAAAAAAAAAAATCATGTTTTACTAAAATACAACATATTATTAATGTATGATTAAGTTAGAGAGACGGACATGAGTTTCTTTCCGAACCAAAGCACCAGAGAAAGAGCTGTCATATTTACTGTCATAAAATACAACATTTTTTACCCTAATATCAAAAAACCTTTCAACCTTGTTGATGTAATCTAAAATAAGATTATAAAAACATGTTACTAGGTTACTTAGTTTTTGAAATTCTAGAGAACAAAATGAAGTTAAGTAGAAAATGGCAGTTAAGCTCATTCATATTTTTTTCTAGGCTTAAAAAATTTTGCTTAAGGCAAGTTAGTTAACTCCAACCCTCAGGATCATGAAAGATGAGGTTGGCAATAATTTGCCAACCTCAATCTTTTAGAGGTCGGCAAAAATTTGATAAAAAGGTCTTACTATAAAACATAGAAATGAGGTTGACAATTTTTTGCCGACTTCAAACACTTTGAGATCGGTATTTAGGTCAGCATTGCCAAATGCCGACCCTAATTCAGAGGGCTGTAACTGCAACTCTTATTGTGTTTAATATACTTGAGGTCATCAAATTATAACATTCATCAAAGTAAGTGGAAAAATGAAAAACCATAGCCATGCTCTGATTTTTTATTTTTTTCAAGAAAATCAAGCTTTTCATAATCATCAGAAATTCATTTAAGTAACTGGTCAATAGCAATGACCTGAAATTTATATTTTGACATCAAGTAAATGTTGTTAATGATAACACTTTTTTCCATGGTTGTGTCAAACCCAAGAGTATAAGCAATAAAGTTATAACTATTCAAAATGTTAACTCAAAAATCATTACACTTACTTTCCTATTTTTTATAAAATCTTTATAAAAAAAAAAAGTAGGAAATGAATTGAAAAATAATAAATGAAACAGACATTTACACAGAATATAGCCAATTAGAATTTCAAAATTAAAAAAGAATGTCTTTTTTCTTGACAACACTACATTATTACACTAATTTAAAATTTAATTTACACCATGAATTTTAACTCTCCTCACTAATTGTCCTTTTTTAAACATTTCTTTTCTAAAAATTTCTTCTTATTCTAAACAAAACTAAGTAAATAAAATTATCAAGTGCATAGACAAATTGCATTAAAGAATAATTAAATCGAAGTCTGTAAATTGTGATTTTAACACTGATATCAGTGACTGTCACTGTTTTCATCAACACTCAATGCATCATCTAAAACCATGATTGTTTCAAAAACTAGGTATATTATTACATTTATAAATGGCTTTTATAAATGTTCAATAAGCTTTTTATAAATGCTTTCAAAAAATAGTAACAAAAATGAACATTAAATATAAAATTAAAAAAACTTACAAGCACCAAAGTGCCACAAAGAAAATAAATGATAAAATATAAAATGAACCAAAAAATATTGTAGGAGCAATTACTGGAATCAAGTATTCCTCAACTAAACAAAAAAATAAAGCAATAAGAAAAAATAAAATGAGACAAAAAATATTGTAGGAGTAATAACTGGAATCAGGTATTCCTTAACTAAGCAAAAAATTATATCAATTAGAAAACATAAAATAAGCCAAAAAATATTGTGGGAGCAATAACTGGAATCAATTACTCCTAAACTAAACAAAAAATTAGAAAACATTATTAGAAAACATAAAAATGAAGCAAAACTTTTTAATTAAGTTTTATTATTTTTCACATCACAAAGAAAGTTTTTTGTAAAAATATAATTGTGATCAGATATAAAGTTTTTTTAAATATACTTTAATCAGACAGAAATTTTTCGAAAATATTTTCTCAAACCTCTTTGGAGACTTTTAACACAAAGTTCTTCATATTAGTACTTTTATCAGAATATATTTATTTTTTATCTTTGAAGGGACATATCTTAAAATGGTTCCATCATTTAAAAAAATAATAGCTGTGAAATTTGGGAATTATCAGATGAGGAAAACATGTGCCCCACATCCTATAAAAAGTACAGCTTTTGCTGCCAGTGGCAACATATTTGGTCTTTGTACTGTAATCACAGCATAAAGCAAATGAAAAGTAAACAAATATTAAAAAGCAAATGAAAAGTAAACAGATATTAAAAAGCAAATGAAAAGTAAACAGATATTAAAAAGCAAATGAAAAGTAAACAGATATTAAAAAGCAAATGAAAAGTAAACAGATATTAAAAAGCAAATGAAAAGTAAACAGATATTAAAAAGCAAATGAAAAGTAAACAGATATTAAAAAGCAAATGAAAAGTAAACAGATATTAAAAATAAAATACAAAACTAAAGACTTAAAATAAAAATATTGAAATTTTTTATTTATTATTTTTTTAACATCTTCACTCCCAACAAGCCTGCAAGTAACTACTAATTAGAGTTGGAAGTTACTGGAAAAGAAAAGATGAAGATTGTAGAGCAAGATAACGATTGACAGATGACTTAAAAGATTGCAAATTATATGAACCAGGAAAGCATGAAGAAGGAAGCAAATTCCGAAGAACTGATGTTTGAGAAAAAAAACTAGATGAATAAGAGTTTTTGGGGCACTTAGGAACAGTCACAGAAAAAGGATGAGACTTAATTGAATGATGAGTAACACGAGAATGAATTTTAGTAGATGGCACAAGAGACGCTAGCTCTTTAGAATGAATTTTAGTAGATGGCACAAGAGACTCTTGTGCCAGATCCAACTATGTTTACAATATATTTTTGTACCTTGTCTAAAATAGAAAGGGCATAATTAGAAGATCCGCCCCAGATATGGCAACAGTATTCCATACAAGGCTGGATTTGAAATTTATAGAGATAGAAAATAGAATCCGGAATACGAAAGTTTTGAACTTGATAAAGAGATGCAACCTTAGCAGATGCTAATTTTGCTATGAATTTGATATATGGTTTCCAATAAAGATTGTAAGTAAGAGTTAATCCTAGAAGATGGAAAGTACTCATTAAGTACATTACCATTCATAAATATAGGAAGATCTAAATTATGAAAAAAATTGAGTTTTATCTGAATAAAAGTGTGGCTCACCTGCCACTGTGAGCCCCATGCTGTAGCAGAAGTGAGATCCTTTTCAAGCTCAAATGCCCCCTCCAAGCAATCAGAGAGAATTGGCTTCTTATCATGACAAGAATAAATGGTAGTACCATCAGCAAACAATGCCACCTAAGATGTGAGAATATCTGGAAGATCGTTAATGTAAATTAAAAAGAGTATAGGGTCAAGGATTGAACCTTGAGAAACCTCTGAAGTTACAGAATGAGGAGAGTGCTGTCCATCAAGGACAACTTTTATACTATGATTGGAAAGGAAGGATTCAATCCTATCGATTTGCTAACAGTAATAAAACCTATCAGTTATTACTGTTAGCAAATCAGCTGTAGAACAAGAAGATCGAAATCCATATTGATGATCAGAAAGTAAGTTATTAGATTAAATATTTGTTAATTGAAGATTCGAAAACCTTGCTTATGAAGAAGACTTATGGGATACTAGTTAGATAAATCAGATTGCTCTCGAGAATTTTTGAAAATAGGCAGGAAATCACTTTAAATACAGAAGCTAGTGTGATACGAATGTCAAGCAATGGATCAACCTGTTTGACGGCTATATCAGGTAGAATGCAACTAGTGAAATCAAGAGATAATATTGATGAAAAATTCTTAGCAAAAAGAGGTGGAATAACAGATTTGCCCATATTATTGATACTGTTAAAGATTCTCCAGAAGTCACAAGAGCCTGATTTTTGTGATGAATTACGAAATTTCATGACCTGAGAGTAGCGGGCTTTGGCGTTAGACAAAACCTTTTTACAATGGTTTCTAGCAGTAATAAACAGACGTCTGTTTTCTAAAGAAGTGTTTTGCTGTTAGATATGGAAGTAACAGTTTCAATTGGAAATTGCAACAGCGCAATGTGAGGAAAACCATGGAGAAGAGTGAGGCTTGGAATTGTCAAGAGGGATTAAAAGATTCCATGCCAGCCAGAATCCAAGAAGTAATGTAAGAAGCACAATTGTCAGCAGGAAGACCAAAGATTTCTATCCAAGGGCCATCACAAAGAAAAACACGAAAAGAGTCCCAGTCAGCTTGAAGGTAGTTGTAAAAGGTACAATAATAGGGGAATTCAGATGATGAAAAAGAATGATTTTTTTTCTGATCGCAGTTTTTTTGACTAGGATCAGAAACAAGACATAAGTCGAGTAGAGAAGGTTAATGGTTCGGGTTGTCTGGAAAGCGAGTTGGAAAATTGACTATTTGAGTTAGGGATTGAGACAGGCAAAAGTTGTGGGCTTTAATGCCTGCAGAGTCACTGACACTAGAGCCAAGCCATTCAGTGTGATGAGTATTAAAGTCACTAACAACAACAATATTGGCTGATAGACAAAGAGAGAGGGCTTGGTCAATTTGATCAGAAATAACATCAAAAAGAGTGCATTCTTGAGATGACAGAGAATGATATAGAACAAAAAGAAAAGTGATAGAATAGGTGCTAAACAAAAGGACATAAAAGAATAGTCTGTGGATTCAAACCTAGTTTCCTGACAAATGGGTGAATTCTTACAAATGCAAATGCCCAGGCCAAGCACGTGACTATTGGAATCTTTAGGAATTAAAGGAAGATAACCGTCAACACTAAGTTCACAAGATAAGACAGCTGAACTCAAATTAGTCTCACAAAGAGCAAGTAGGTCTGGCGAACTTTGCAAGAGATAAAACTCAATAGAAGAAAAGTTACTTCGAAGACCATGAATATTAGTGAATGATAGGCTTAGAGAACTTGGTGGTGCTATGGTTCTTTGTGTTTAATAGTTTTTAGTACTTTATTCATTTTTAAATTTGTTAAAAAACTTGACTTAAAGCATAGTACTCAGTACACTTTTTAATAGCCCAACCATTACTCTCATTACTATTAATTAAATGTTAATTTTTAGGTTCTATCATTCTTACTTCAAAGTTTTTGAAGTAAAAAAAAAGAACAAAAAAAAATTTCACCATTTAAAAAAAAAGAAAAAAATTTGTGGGATAAAAATTAGTTACTATTCTCAACAGACAATTGAAAGAAATTTCAAGCAACTAACTGTTAAGTTATTTTACAACTTTTCACTACATTAAGTTTACAAAAATATGCAACATTAATACAGGAAGTAACTATTTTATGGGAAAAAGCACAAATCCCTAAAAAAAAAAACATTCAACATTCCATCAGTAAATTGGAAGTTTTGTACAAAAACATTCAACATTCCATCAGTAAATTGGAAGTTTTGTACAAAAACATTCAACATTTTATCAGTAAATTGGAAGTTTTGTATAAAAACATTCAACATTCCATCAGTAAATTGGAATTTTTGTACAAAAAATAGAGACATTCCATCAGTAAATTGAAAGCTTTGTACAAAAAATAGAAACATTTGCTTAAAGACAATAGAAGGAAGAAAAAAAAAACAGCATTTCTTTCTTCATTCAATAATCTCTTCTATGTTGCGTCGGTAAGTACATTAAATATGTTAACTATTATAAAAGATATATTAACTTTAACTTTGAAGAAGTAAATTTTTATATCTTCAACATATAGAAGAAACAAAGGAAATCTTAAACTATCTTTGCAAAACTTGTCGCATTGTTTGACTGCTGCAAAATTAGCGACAGAGATGATTGTTAATATTTTTAGTGGCTGAAATTTTAGATTTTAATTTTAGATGTTTAAAATTTGGTTATAAACAGGTCATCTATTCATCAATATCATAAGATTTTCAAGAAAGCAGCAAACCACCTTATAGAAAGAATCTGTAGTTCATGAAGGCTTTAATTTTTTTTATCATTGTCCAAACAGTTGTTTTTAATGTAACAGTTGATTAACTTTCTGTGATAAATGCAAGTGGTCTGTACAAATCTGTACAAGTAACTGTGCAAGTGGGAAGTTGGAGCAATTGCTTGCAGTTTACTAAATACTTAATAAGTAGAACTTTTCAAAAAAGGTAAAAGCACTGTGCTGTAATACAACAGCATCAAACACTAGTAAATGGTATTTCTATTATTTAAAAAAATGTGATTTTCTATACCCTTCAGACATATTTTTTGAAGTTTTTAAGGACAATTTTAAAAATTTTTGAAGATTAAGGACAATTTTTTCTTCAAAACATTTTTAATGAAAAACTCTTACTTACCAGATTTAATGTAAAATAATTAATACTATCTAATAATATTAACAATAATGTAAAATAATTAATACTATCTAATAATATTAACAATAATGTAAAATAATAAATAATTAATCTAATAATATTAACAATAATGTAAAATAATTAATACTATCTAATAATATTAACAATAATGTAAAATAATAAATAATTAATCTAATAATATTAACAATAATTAATACTATCTAATAATATTAACAATAATGTAAAATAATAAATACTATCTAATAATATTAACAATAATG